GCCTCTGCCAGGGTAGTCCTACTCACTGACTTGTTGTGGCAGGGGTGTTGTTTATGGAATTCAGAGGACGAAAAGCGAATGTGCGACGCTCTAACCGGGTTGGTGGACATGGAGAGTCCATCTAGGGGGGTTGGAAAACCCTGATTCCAAACCAATGGTGCACATAGGCTCCAGGACTCACCGGCTACAAGTTCATGTAATGTCAAGTCACTCAAACTGGGGAGACATAGTGCAACTTGGTAGAAAAACTCGACCAGTACGAAAGGATTAGACAAACGTAATATTTGCCAATACTCACTGTCTAATCAATTGTAAATTGTCTGATGATAAGGAATTTTCATTCAGCCATTGTTCTTTAACCACACTAGAATGAATTCCTAAATTTTATGTGGATCTTTTTAGTTTCCTTGCTATTGAATATTTGGAAATTTCAATACTTAAATGTAATGGTATACCATTTAGTTAGGAAGAATTCATGTATCAATTTGAAATGGATTGAATTATCCGGTTGTTGATATATTGGTTGGCATATGTGCATCTTGTGCAAGTTGCCTCGATGTAGCCAATTATGACAAAGGTTAGTATAGCATAAATGAAATATAGCTTTCAGTAGAATCCAAGACACGCGTTTCATTCGATTTTGGGCTCGTCAACTGGATGTATCTTTATTCCAGACTCGATACTCGACTGGAACTTAGTATCCTCCGATTCAAATACCATCCTATTATCTACTTAGCTACTGAGTCCAGGTAGTCATTCATTTATGGAATAGGTATGAGTTTTAATCCATATTAAAGTGGATTAGATTATCTAATTTCTGATATTTTGACTGAATTTTGTATGATTAAAACTATCTATTTAATACAGAATAAAGTTTAATAAAAAAACGAAATAGTTCAAAGCTTTAAACCGGCTCTTGTCGTCTGAAGTCTCATCAAAAATAATGTTAATGACGTTGGTAACTACAACAAAAAGAATCGTTTAAATTTAGTAAACCTTGTCTCCCAAGCTTATAAATATTTTTTTGTAGTTCATTAACCAAGTAAATATCATACTTCACATCATGAATTGATCTTAGTGAAATAACTATTAAAATCTAAGAAACACCGGACATTTGTTTAGTTATAAGTCAAGAATCAAGAACAATGACCAGCTAACAACTCAGAACTTGATGGCGTCACAGCGAGCGCTTAACCTCCAGACCACTGAGCTGGCCTCCATTGGTTAACATTTGTTAATTATAATTAATTTGTGATATTACTCAATCATCGTTCGATAACAACGTCATATCAGATATCATACATTCACTGGTTACTGATTCTCACGAAAACGCTAAAATTTGCCTCTCGAAGTTAGGCACTAATGAACACATGATTAATATTAATGTAAGTGGTATGTGACGTTATGATATAAGATGACATATACATAAATTCTGACCCTATGGTTTTACTATCTTGCTTTTAAAGATCGAATAGAAAAAAGAGGGAGAATAATCACAGTGTACTAGTATAAACCCACTTTTTATTTATGAGAAAAATATAAAATAATTAAAGAATATTATTAAGATACATATATTATTTCACTTGCTATTGTTTACTTAAAACTTCCCATTGATGGTTAGAACTGCAATTGGTCAGTCTCTTATATATGTATATATGTATAGATCACTTCGATACTGCCTTAATTCACAAGCATTCTATGCAGAGATGGGTAGTGCCTAACGGTGGGATCCAGGAGTAAATATCAACTCTGAGATACAGGTATATCCATCTGACAAGTCTAAAATGGCATGAAACTCGCGTCTTCTATTCCACTGCTAGCCATTATCCATCTTTGCATACAAATATTATTATTTTTGTCAAAAATATCCTCTATATATTATAGTTAATGAATAGAGATAAAAGTATTACATGAAAAAGATCTTAAATATAACTTTGTGCTGACTATGTCTTTCAGAAGAACAATGAAAGCTCCACGATCAAACCATCCAGCTCAGAGAATATAACCCCATCAAAATCATTCACCTGAGCTATAAATCTCCACAATCTTAAATATAATTGAACATTATTTAAATAAACCAATGAAACAATTAATAAAATCAACATCGTGTTATATTTTATTTCAATAGTTGAGATCATGAGTCAATTGAATCTAGACCACCATGGATAACCTAGAAGCATTGAACGGCCGTTCCGTTCTAGTATGGTTTTCCTCAACTGTGCATGTCCACGATCACTCACGTGGAACGCCAACCCACAGCATTCCATCTCGCGCATATCAACATTTATGCTCTGCACTACTGAGCCTGTCGGCATCCAATGGTGTTAATTTCTAACTTCAACCAATCCACCATTAAAAACCTAGAGACAGAAGGTCCTGTGTTTGAGTCCCACATGAGGGATCGTGGATGCTCAATGCTGATAAGTTTTGTACTAGGATGAAACGGCCATCTAATCCTTCCAGGATTTCAATGGTGATTTAACATTGATTGATTCATGATATCAATCGAAATTCAACAATCTGCACAACCCTATAGTGATAATTCATATTTTTCTAAAATCTAAAGTTTACTATTAGGACCTAAAACCGTTCTATTTAAAGGTGTACAGCTTAAACTAAAATAACTTTTAATTAAGAAAAAAATTTACCATTTAACACTCAAATCTCTTCATATAAATTATCTTACGGACTTTCTTCACCCTGTACTTAGTATTTTTTAATAACTTTGTAGAACTCCACAAATTGCTATCCAACACCTATCAGTTTAGATTAGATAAAATCAATTTATAATTCAACCTAAAAGTAACCAATTATATAAGCAAAAGATGAATTGTTAGAAGAGGTTTTGTGGAGATTTTTAGAAATTTCAATAGTTGAAATCATGAGTCAATTGAAGCTAGAATACCATGAAAAACCTGGAAACACTGGACAGCCGTTTCTTCCTATTGTGGGACTCCCCAACAATGCCCATCCACGATCCTGCCCCCCCCCGCGAGATTCGAACCCAGGACCTATCACTGTAGATGCCCATTACTGAAGAGTCCCATACTAGGACGAAACGACCGTCCAGTGCTTCCAGGTTTTCAATGGTGGTCCAGCTTCAATTGACTCATGATTAAAACTATTGAAAAGATGAATTCTCAAAAATAGTCAGTAAAATATAAACCCACATTATTATGTATTGTACATTTGTTACTCTGATATAAATGTGAAATATTGATGAACCAATATGAAATATTCATATTAACTAGGACAATGTATTGTAGAGTAATTAGAGGCGGGAATTTATTAAGAAACTATGAATAGGGCAAAATGTGATTGGATATTTCAAATTGATAATCAAATAGATTATTTAAAACCTAATGAATTCAATGTAAGAAATTGATGATTCTTAATATATCAAGGATTCAATATATTGAAATGTAAAGGTAAATGCTTACAGCTAACACTGAAATTATTTACAGACAATAGTCAGCATTTGTGTTAGTTTCGTTAAAATTATTGATTATTTGACAATATACCTGAAAAATATCATACATACATTAACGATATTCCTTTATGTTTGATACTTACCATGTTAATCGCAATAGTGATATTCAAAATGATTAACTTTTCATTATCACTTTCTGTATTCAACGACATGAAGATTGAAGACATTGACTATAAGGCATAAGGTTGTTTGAATATACCTTAAATTAGCTTTTTTAAATCTATTTTGATAGAGCTATGCCTTGAAATGAATATATGTAATCAGATTGTTTGAAATAGATAACGCAAATTCATTGCTTTGTTCGGATCAAGTCCGTCTTCTTATTTCTCTAACGGTATATACTTTGATTTAAAGAGTATGTTTATGATGTACTAAATAAGCTTTGAATCTGCTATCGTTCATATTCATTCCGGTTTCTCACCGAGATTAAACCTAGATTCTCTAGGTTAAGTGGCAAGCAAGTTGATGTTGACCAGATAGATCAGCAAATAGAATATGACACAGAATACCATACTTACTGTTAACAACAATGTTATACATTAGAATTATGGTTTAAAATTTGATCAATAATTTTATGTCATTCCATTTTATTTTGTTTCATTGTATCTTCACCACATGAAACGTATCTATCTTGTGATTACTGTTTTGTATACATGTGAAATTTGAACAGATTCAAAGTCAATTATCGGTTCCTTTGATTGAAATAAATCTTCGAATGTAGTATACATATATACTATAATTATAATGGGTAAGATATAGAGAAATGATACAATTTCGGATACTTTGAAAACAGATTACCATGACAGTATATATATATATATATATATATATATATATATATATATATATATATCATATTGTTAGGTTCTACTGTCATTTTGCGTATATATGTCTTCGTAACAATTGTTACGTATACTAATTTACAAATGATGATATGAACATCCAGTATGTGTATAGGTAATTTGATTCTGAATAGAAAAACCTTATTTCTTTAATTTAATTTTTTTTTTCGATATGTAAACACATGTTTTAGAATCAAATTACAATTTTTACTAATCGGATTTACTGAATTAATAATAATAGTAGTAAATAGTAGTTAATTGGGATCATTTGTCATAAAGATGATGATAATGATTAATACGGTGTTACTGCTATCAGTGATAATGGTGATAATGATGACGATGACAAAGGAATTGATAATTGAATTTATACAACCCTTATTCTTTTACAATATTTAAACAGATGACAGTAATCAGTGATTATGTATCTCAATTTACATTTTGCTAATAGTTGTTACACTTTGAACTAACAGATTACAAGTTATAAATGTGTTACAGTTTCATATATACGCGAAAAAATGTATAATAGATTACTTAATGTATTAGAGGAACTACTCAATCACGATACTTGTGATTAATTTGACCTTATTTGTAATAGTAAATACTAAAGCTTATATATAAATATATATGATGATATATAACATCAGTTTTCTTCTAATTTGTATAATAAGGTAAATCGGTGCCAGAGATTTTATCTTCAAATGATATACTATTACTGTTACATTCATTACAAATTACAATCTGAATATATTTTACAATGGATAAATCAAAAAAGAATCTGTTCAATTATCCTTTGTGACCATTATGAATGAGCAGAGTTTTAGTCGCTACCATCATTCAACTAATTTAGATGAATGTCAAGAGAATAATAATGATGTTGATAATGGTCGTCCATTTGATAATGACTCATCTTTAGAATATCAGTCAAATAACAGTACACCATCGTCATCATCATCAGGTTATGTTAATTATGAACTACAAAGTAAGAATTATGATTCTGATGAAATTCTTGATTTGAGAATGCATAAAAATAAAATCTTTGACACTTGGCCATCAACAACAATTTCTTCATCTTCGTCCTTTAACTCGTTATTTTCCACAAATATAAACTATGATAATCATCCATGTAAAATATCGAATTCAGAATTATTAAATAATCTAATTGAAATGAATAAACAACAACACATTGACGCTTTATTCAATCATCATTTAACTTCATCATTATCTTCATTACCAAGTACTACTACTACTACTACCACCAATAATACTACTAAGTTGAATACATTTTCAACTGCTTTAACATCATCAGTAGCATATGAAAAATTAACACAAACAATAACCACTTCCAATATTAGTCCTATAAATAATTTAATAGATTTTACCAATACACTATCAAAAACTATTCATACATTATCTAAATATCATTATTCTAAATTAAATGATCATCAACCAAAATCATTATCGAATATTAAACATTCAATTAATCATGAATTTCAATTGGATAAAATAAATTTTCTTTCAAATTTCCCATATTATCTTTATCGATTTTTTTCTACATCAAATATAATTCCTACTATTCAACAACTACAACAACCACACCAGCATCAGCAGCAAGACAATCAAGAACGACAATCCTATAATTCTATTAATTCATCTTTAATAGATCCTTTACAAGAGAATACAAATATTTCATATTCATTATTAAAACCATGTATAAAATTTTCTAATATGAATTTAATCAATCAACAATATACAACATCATTTGAATTATCAATTAATTTTATTAATTGGTATCATCAATTTATGCAAAATTTACATCAATTATTATTAAAACAACAATTCAAACAACAACAACAACAGAAGCATGATCATCATCCTCAACAACAACAACAACAACAGCAGCATGATCATCATCATCATCCTCAACAACAGCAAGATCATCGACAACAACAACAACGACAAATTGATCATCAACAAAATGATCAAAATTTAAAATGGATTAAAAAGGAGACAAATGGATTCAATAAAGAATATCATATTAGTTTAAATTCATTTGATTTACATTTAGATAAAGAGAAATATTATCAAAAGATAAATAATTCAACAGATCATTTAAAAGTCAATAAATATGATACATCAAATGATGAAAATTTTTCTAATTTTCAATCAAATCAAGGTAATGATTGTAATATACATATTTATATATCAGAAGGGTTTTTGTGGATATTATAATAATTTCACTGGTTGAAATCATGAGTCAATTGAAGCTAGACCACCATGAAAAACCCGGAGGTATTGAATGGCCATTTCTTCTTATTATGGGACTTCTCAGCATCCACGATTTGAACACAGGACCTAACTGTATCGCATGCGAGCACTTAACCACTAGACCACTGAACCGGCAGTGGAGTTCAACCGTGTCTGTTGTAAGATAGTAATTCACTGAAGACAATGGTCCATGTGTGGCTCAATTTAGTGGATTGATTGAACTTAAACATTAACACCGTTGGATGCAGACTCAGTGGCCTAGTGATTAAACGTTAGCACACGAGACTGATAGGTTCTGGATTCGAAACTCGCGAGGTAGTATCGTGGATGTGCACTGCTGAAGAGTCCCACAATAGATCGAAACCGCCATCCATTGCCTCCAGGTTTTTAATGGTGGTCTACATTCAATTGACTCACGACCTCAACCATTGAAATATATATATATATATATATATATATATATATATATATATATATATATATATATAACATTAATCGTATTTTTATTCGTATGTAGATATATTCCCCTTATATTAAATGATTGAAAATGATCATTCTGAAACTTTATATCTAGATTTCATACTAGTTGGTATATTCTTGCTTACTAAATTTGCAATATTTTAAGAGAAATAATACTTCCTATGAGAGTTAAAATTATGTAACAAAGTTTTCAAGTCTTAATATTAAAGTATTAAACAAACATGAATGAGACTACAGTTTAAGGACGACCTTTGAGCGGCGTAAAATAACCTTGATCATGCTCACCTACTTACTAGGGCTAAATAATTGTTATAAACCAGTGTGAGGAATTAATATTATGATTTTCAGTTGATGGTTAGTATTAGGAATTAGATTTAGGGTTTTCATCACGAAATGACATCAGCTATAATGCCAGAAATTTATTTAGCCAAATAGATGAAAGGCTTTCACGTTAAAATCCGAGATCTATTATATACCTGATTGATTCGTCCACAAATTATAGTCTCGTCGTTTTATTTGTTATAGACGCTCAATTATCACGCTTTATAAAAAAATTTCCTGTGAACCGATCGTACGTTAGCATTAAGCACTGAAGTTGGAGCCGTAACCTTGAAATCTCTAAAACGCTTGTGATTGGCTCGTCCATAAATTAGAGTCTCGTCATTCAACCAATCGACCAGAAACCCCTTGATTCGAATATTATTGTTTAGAATAAATCTCGATCTAGTGCAAATGTTGATTAATATTGCTGATCTTAAACCTACTCCTATTTTTAATTTGTTGTACCACATAAGTCACAGCTTTCTCTACAGTAAGAAAATGATTCCAGAAAGATGAATAGAAAGTCAGTTAATTTAAAGGGAAATGAAATTTTATATGCTATTTCTCATAACTCTGAACCATAGTATATTTCAGTCAGAATACTGTAAAATCTAACCAAATTTAAAGTTTATCAGAATTAATAACTGACAAATTTAATGGTTTAATTATTAAAAAAATAACATGAAGAAGCCTACTACTATCAACAGAATCAACCTAACCCTACCCTCCAAAGAAGAAGGAGATGAAAATAGTTAATATTAGTAAAATTCATTTTAAGATGATACAACGGCCAAAATAATTTCGTATTCTAAGAAGAAAAAAGTTTAGAATTTAACTGTAATCATAAACCTCTAACAGATTTTTTATTAATTTACAATTGAGTGATCAATCGGTGGTGATCAATGTCATGTATGTCAAGTCCTTTTTAGTGCAGATCGAATCCTATAGATCATGTTGCAATGTGGCTACTAGTTTAGGTGATTTGATGTTGCATGCACTATGTTGAGATAAGCTGGTTGTTGGAAGGAGTTAACAGAAACCCTGGACCTAGGTTTCATACTACTTGACACTCGTTAGGAAGGTGTACATGTATTCTTGAAAGAACTTATGCTCCTTGACCAATTCGATCCCATGTCACCCAACTTCGCAGTCAGAGACGTTACCACTGGGCTATCCGGGCAACGACTGACCTCTTGTAGGATTGAGATGTATTTACAATTGACTGATCACTGGGTGGTGATCAATGTCATGTATGTCAGGTCCTTCTTAGTACAGATCAAATCCTATCGAACAAGTTTTTTATTAATGACAAACAACCAAAGTGTATCTAAATATTAGAAATGAATAACAATGTGTGTACTTTTTTCCTTCACACCGTTTGTGATCTAACTTTACTACGTTCGAAGTTATCTGAATTTCTTAAAAATGATAGGAATGTCAAGTTATAAATTAGTGATAAATAGAGGCTTTTATCAATATTCTAATAAAGTCTCCTTTACAGTATGAAGTAATGAATCAAATAGAAACAAATATCGATTGTTACCTTGTTTTAATTAATTGTTAACTAATAAATAGTAAGTTTTTTTTCGAATTGTTGAGATCCTGTAAACTATTGATTTAACTATTAAATAAACGTTTGAAGCCTAAGATAACATAAAGCTCAGCTAATAGCCTATATACTTGCTGTTATATCAATTTCATTTATTCATAAACATTTAAAAGTAACAGCCATAATACCCTCCTTCGACTTGTTACAAAATAAATAAATATTAATCTGGAGGTTTCTTAGTCTTAGTCAATTAAATCTTGTTTATAATCAAAAAGAGGTTTTGTGGATATGATAGTGATTTTAATGGCTGAGATCATGGGTCAATTGAAGCTAGACCACCATGGAAAACCTGGAAGCACTGTACGACCGTTTCGTCCTATTGTGAGACCTTTCAAAAGTGCGCAACAATGATCCCGCCTGGCGAGACTCGAACCCAGGAAATATAAGTCTTTCTTGCCGACGCTTAACCTCTACACCACTAACGGTGTTAATGTCTAACTTCAACTAGTCCATGAAATTGAGCGACACATGCACTATTGTCTTCAGTGAATTACTATCTCACAACAGACCCGGAAGCACTGTGCTTCCAGGTTTCCTATGATGGTCTAGCTTCAATTGGCTCATGATTTCAACTACTGAACTTACTATAATATTTACAAAAACCCCTTCTGATAATACTCAACATATGCTTAGAAGTGACTGGCCCTAATAGGTATTTCCTAGAGTTCTAGTGAGAAGAAGTGACCAGTGGAGTTCAACCGGCTCCATTGTAAGATAATAACTCCCTGAAGAAAATGGTGGATGTGTCGCTCAATTTGGTGGATTAGTTAAAGTATACACGAACACCGTTGAATACCGACAAGCTCAGTGTTGTAGAGGGTAAGTGTTTTAATATGTGGGAGACCGAATGCTAAGGGTTGAAGTTCCACGTGGCAGATCATGAACATGCACTGTTGAGGAGTCGCAAAATAAGACGCAAACGGTCATTTATTGCTTCCAGATTTCTCATAGTGATCTAGTTTCAATTAACTCATTTGTTTTTGTTTTGTTTTATTTATTTTAGATGAATTACCTATTGATTCATGTTCACAAAAATGGATCATTTATCAAAATGAATCAAATCTTTTATCTGAACAATCAACATTTACTAAATCAATAAATGATAAAATCGATACAAAATTATTCAATAAATCTAAATTATCTTATTCTATTAATTCATCATTATCATCATCATCATCATCTAATCCAATTCATTATTATCGTCATATTTATCATTATCATCATAATCAACAATTAATTAATAATCGTATTAAATATAAATTACAATTAAATAATAATAATCATAATATAAAAATTAATAAAAATTCTAATTTATTATATCGTTATCAATGTCCACATTGTAATAAAGAATTTCCCCGTTCAGCTAATTTAAATCGTCATTTACGTACACATACTGGTGAAAAACCATATCATTGTGAATATTGTCAAAGAGGTTTTAGTATATCATCTAATATGCAACGTCATATAAGAAATATACATCAACGTGAACGTCCATTTATATGTACAATATGTAAAAGAGCATTTGCTCAAAGAACTAATTTAGATAGACATAAACGTAATCATTGGTTACATAATTCATAAAATTTATAATAAAATGTATATTTATTTATTTATTCAATTCTAATCAACATTATTTTCTTGATTATTTTGTTTGTTTGTTTATTATTCACTTTTGATTGTTGAACTTTGTAAGATGATTTCATGTTCATATTGTTCATGATATTTTCTTTTTTTTAATTAAAATAAACAGTAACAAAGAATGTTGATCTATTTACTTTGGAGATGATGAAGAAGATTTGTAGCTCAGGTGGATGATTTTGATGGAGCTTTGTTCTCTGAGCTGGATGATTTGATCGTGGAGCTTTCATCGTTCTTCTGAACGACATGATCAGAACAAACTTCAGACAGAAGTGAAGTGTTCGAATTTCTCCATATGTGTTTCACAGCTTGTTCTGTACACCTCGATGTTGATTGGTTCTTATTGACCTTAAATTTGTCATTGTTTACTTCTTTGTTTTGGTTGTGTCTCCTATTGGTTTGATTTTTGTTCCTATATTTGTGCATTATTTTCTTGATTGATTGATAAATTGGATTGATTTCAATATGGTTGTTGATTGCTGATTGAACTGACTGCTAGGCTTTTAAAAATTCTCTGATGTTTTTGGAATTTCCTCTGTCCAAGATTTCCACATTTTTCCAATCGAATGAGTGTCCGCAGTTGTCCACGTGTATTGATATAAGTGAGGAAATATCATAGCGTTTGACTGCTAATTGATGTTCATGTAGGCGAAGGTGAAGAGAGCGTCCGCTTTGTCCAATGTAGTGTTTTTCACAGTTGGCACAATTTATTTTGTAGATGATGTTATATTTGTTTTTGGAGGTGTACAGAACAAGCTGTGAAACGCATATGGAGAAATTCAAACACTTCAATTCCATCTGAAGTTTGTGCTGATCATGTTGTTCAGAAGAACGATGAAAGCTCCACGATCAACCATCCAGCTCAGAGAACAAAACTCCATCAAAATCTACTTACTTTTATTAACAATTTTAATGATTGAATAGATATTTGAGGTTATTCAACAGGAAATCTATATTGTATTCTACACAGTTTGTTCACTTAATGAATAAGTGAAGTGTATTCAATCATAGATAGTGGCTAGCAGTGGAATCCAGTTTGGTACATGTTTCGTCCTATTTGGGACTCTTCAGCTCGACATATGTGCATCTCAGAATTGATGTTCATTCTAGGAGTTGGACCCAGTATCGTTCGCTTCAAACGCTATCGCATTATGTACTCAGCTACTGAGTCTTGATAGCTATTTGCCTGTGTAATGGGTGAATTTAAATTCACTTGGTATTGTTTTCTTGAATCTTCCCATTAAGGTTTAAGACTGCAAATGATCAGTCTGTTATTAACATATGTGCATGCTGTGCGTATTGCCTCGATATTACCTTAATTCACAAGCTTTATAAGCAAAAATAACAGACTGATCAATTGCAGTTTTAAACCTTAATGGGAAGATTCAAGGAAATAATATCAAGTGAATGTATTCAATCATTTCTGAAATAATTTCCCTTTGAATTTACGTCATTATCTTCATGATAATTTTTTTTATCTGATCAGTCTCATTGAGTTATATCTAATTTACTTATGGTAGACTTATATTTCATAGGAACAGTTGTAAACTGAAAACATTGGAAATTGTTGTATTTAGCCAAATATAAAGTATTTATACAACAATCTGTGCAGTTTTGCGATTACGGTAGTATAAAAATAGTTTAGAAAATTACTATTAATTTCCTAAACACTATGAAGGTAAACCCTAAAATAGCTGACTTAGTTAATATAAAACAATGTCAACGTGAAAAATGTTATGCAAATAACACAATTACTGTATATTGAAACAACAGAATCCGTAATAACATCACAAGCGATTAAACAATGAACAGTGAAATATTCAATGTATAATAGCAGTACTCAAAAATCTTGCCATTAAAAGATCTGAAGTTGAAAATCGGATATTTTCCAGCATATAACTTCAGCGTAAATAAGTAATATTATATAGAATTGTTTATATAAAAAGAAATGACCTTTTGATGTTTATATTTCAAGTTGTACTCAGTCCTGAAATAGACCTGTTGTTAGTTATTTGAAAATTCAATTATTCCTGAGTATTTTTTTATCGAAATCATGAATCGATGAATGTTAGATTACCATTGAAAACTTGGAATCATTAGATGGTTGTTTCGTTCTAGTATGGGACTCCTCAACAATGCGCATCCACAATCCCATACGCGGGACTTGAACACAGGAATTTCGGTCTCTAGCTTTACAATGGTGGTCTGACATTCATCCATTCATGATATCAACCAAAATTCAACAGTATCCACAACCCTATACTGATAATTATCATGTATTCATTGGTGAATAGTTTCAACATCAATTTCATGCAGTTCTAGTAAGAAGTTGTGACCAATCGAGTTCAACCGTGTCAGTTGTGAAGCAGTTATTCACTGAAGACAATGGTGGATAGTGCCTCGATTTCATGGATTAGTTGAAGTTAAACGTCAACACCGTTGAATGCCGATAGGCTTAGTAATGTAGAAGTCAAATGTTAACATAAAAGACTCAAGATCCTGGGTTCGAACCCCGCATGGGGGATCATAGATATGCACAGTTGAGGAGTTCCATATTTAAAAAAACAGCCATCCAGTCGAAATTATAAAATTTATTCTAGAAGTATACTTTATGAAACTTAAGAATTTTGAAATAAAAGTATCCAATTAATAATCAAATGAATAATCTTGAATTAAACGTTAAAGTATATTGTATCCTCTTTGATTTATGAATATTTAAACTGAAGAATATTTTAATGAAATTAAGAATATCGATAACCTATGATGAGATTTAAGCACATTTTTGTGTAGGGTGTTTTAAAGTTCATTATATAATATAAATCGACATATATAAACTCCATTTCATATGTTTCTTTCTAAGAACTAATTCTTACTTCTTGTATTATATCCTTATATGTCATCTTTCTTTTATATATAGATATTACTACCAATGAAGGAACTACTTCTTTGAATTTAGTGTTGATCTTGATGTGATAATGAGGTATGGCAACTTGGACCGAGATATATATATGCCTAATCCTACAATGTAGCTAACTGACTGACATATATCAACTAAATAAGAAATTTCTTTCTTTCTTTCTAACATTTAAAGAATTAGATAACATAAACTTAATCTACAAAACTATCCTTATTGTTATTCATTTTCATTAAATTGTGGAAATTCGCTTAATCAATGAAGTTATATATGTTGAATGAAAACAAGTTAATGCTTTGACATTACGTTAGGAATTTGAAGGTATCTGGTGTTACAATTAGATATTAATTAAGAACCAATTTGATGTTCATTATCAATTCACTATTATATGCTGACAATAATTGACTGGATTTATAAATGAACTATTCAGATATATTCTGACTATAAACAGTAGGTTTATGTGGACTAAATATAGCCTATTAAAAACATTAAACTCACTTTAAATGACTTAAATTTACTTAATGTTACTTACTTACTTTACTTACGCCTGTTACTCCTAATGTTGTTTTACTTGTATCTTCTCATTGTAATTTAGGACTGCAGTTGATCAGTTTCATGTTGGCATATGTGCATCCTGTGCGGATTGCCTCGATATAGTCTTAAGTCACAAGCTTTTTAAGCAAAGATGGATAGTGGCTAGCAGTAAGTAGCAAGCACACCATTGTTCTAAATGTAACAATTGACCTATATAAGATTTACAAACATATAACAATAAAACTCTGAACAAAGATGGAAACACTTTTTTTTACGCCTAATGATAACCAGAAACATTTCTATCACATCTAAATAATTAACAATAAGGATTTCAATGATGTTGAAATAAACAGTAGATTAAGTAACATAATATATATCTTCTCTTGTCATTTGATAGAGTTAGGTTTTTTTTAACTATGTGTCAACGTATAATATTAAAAGCTTTGAATAAATGTACTTCAGGCATAATGATATGATCAGACTATATTCTCCTATCATTATATTATGCTAGTAGTTGGATTAAGTAGAAATCATAGATATCAGTAATCATTGTTAATTTTTCTATATATTATACTCTAAGGGACACTCTGAAGATAATAAATAATGGTATAAATTCGTTATTGTTTGGTTATAAGAATGATTGTAGAAAAAGTGAAATATGATTACTTTTATGAAGTATCATAAAGGATTTGGTTTATTTTGTGCTCAACTAATTCACTTTAATGTGTTGTAACATGTATGGAAGTAACTAAAGAGTTAAACGACACAGTATTTCTAAACTAGCGATGAGCAAAAATTAAATTGTTAGTTCTATAAATAGAAGTATATGTCTTTTTTTAAAGAAAAAAAGTAACCTAGATCATGGAGCTTCAAAGGAATCTTCTTAGTTATATGTTCCTGAACACACTATTTACAAATGATATGAAATTTATTACTGATATATTCAACGTATTAAATAGATCAATAATTTTTTCTAAGGAATTCCAATTTCTATTGAGTACTTCATCTTTTATCCTGAAGATGAAAGAAATTTATTGATTTCAATCTGTTATAAATTGTGGCTTGTGTGCCCTGTTAATGTATAACGTAACGATACTGCCAATTAAAGAACAGTGAATTATCGATCGTATCAATGACGCCTAAAACCCATACGAGCAGTCTAGAGTACTTATCGGGTCCTGCTTCCTACCTAGCCCAGCCAGTTAAGTTCAGAACACCAATCTCAGTCTCTGCAATATGAATCATGTATTTTAAACATACTGGGTTTATAGGTATCATTACCAAGGTTTGATTGATAATTATTATTACAAAAAGGCTTTTCCAACTACAAAGAAAGGAAGGTAGCTGAGGCGATCCATATAATGCCTAATCCTACTACTCTCAATAGAAAGGAAGGTCTTACCATACATCCTACATGGACCATCTATCCTAGCCATTCAGTCTGATCGTATTTACAATTTCACACTATCATATTACAAATTTAAACTCTATCCTTTCTTACCATAAAGGTCACACAAGTTTTCATTCTTAAACAATGCACACATACATACACACAAATTTACATACATATCACTTATGAATCACCTTGACAGAAATGATATGACATCAACTTGTTCAGACCTGTTTTGATTGATCCAATATTATTCTTGCATTGTTCCGTTGTACTATTTAA